CTTTGACTCGTCGGGGGCGGGACTGCGGCCGGCGGAGGGCGGTGCCTTATCGGCAACGACGGCGAACGTTTGGCTGGTGGTGGCCATCTGCGTGGTGTCGAGCCTTTTCCTGCTGGCGGTGGTACTGTACGGGGCAGCGCGGTGGTCGCCGCGGTCGGCTGTGCTGTCGGGTCCCGGTCCTACCACGCTTGTGTGCGCCAGCGAAGTGGGGAGCTGGTCGTACTCGCAGCGCCAGAGCCGAAGTCTGTGTGTGGCGGACGGTGTGGGCAAGAGCGACCTGATGGTTTTCAGCCCCAACTTTCCACCACCGCCCGGTTCCCTGGCGAAGGATATTCAGCCGGAGGCGCCCGCTCTGTTGCAGACGGTCAGTAGTGCTCCCTTCCTCCCTCCCTCTCTTTCTCATCTCTTGCCTATTCCCCCGTCGCCCCTTGTCCCCCATTGCCCTTCTTGCCTGTCGGCCTGGCAGGCACTGGTGTGAGCCATCGAAGCAATATTGACATAATCTTTAAGAACTCGATTTCTATTTGAAAAGGCACAACACATCCAGGCAGCTGGGAAAAGTCTATGTCCCAGAGTGGCTTTGCAGCTTTCCATATATTCTTTTTGCCAGTTGTAAAAGTAGGTGCGGTTGTGCAAAGACCTGGGTCATACTCAGTGTGGGCTTTATTGCTGAGAAACACTGAGTGGTGAAACAGTGCCTGGGTACTGTGGCAGTGATTCTCTAAGTGGCACTGAGTGTTGCCCTGTCGTGCATCCCAGGGAGTGCATCCTTGAGCTAGGAAGAGTTTCCTGAGGGAAATGGAAGTGTTGTGTAGGGCATGGCCTGTGCCATTGGTAAAAAATCGGATGTCTGCTGAGCTGATCTCATTTCTCATGGGAGGAAATTGATTATGCCAGCAGAAAACTTCAGGAAATGTCTCCATGCACAGTGCTACTTGTCTGTGATTCTCTCCAGCCTCAAGAAGTTCTGTATATCCTTGTGACCCTGTGTCTTTGGTGTTGGTCTGAGACACTGGCAAATTTGGCCTTTCAATACAGTAGCATGGGATCCTTTTTTTTTCTTCTCACCTTTCAGAAAAATCTCAGGTCCTTCGTTTTTATTTCCCACAGTGGCAATGGGTTGATAACATGGGATAAGATGCAGAGAGTGGAATTTTGGCAGGGCCTTATCCTTGATCTTCCTGAGCCCCATGCAATTCATGTAGGCCCACTTCTCAAGCTTGTTCAGGTCTCTCTGAATGGCATCCTTTCCTTCAGGCATATGAACTGTATCACTGAGCTACACGTTGGCTGTGAAGTTGCTGAGGGTGCCCATGAATCCCACTGTCTACCTCCTTAATGACAATATCAAACCTTACTGGTTCCCATACAGACTCCTGAGGGACATTGCTTTTCACTAGTCCATCTGGACATTGGACCATTCACCTCTACCCTCTAGATGAGACCACCCAGATGGTTCCTCACTCACTGAACAGTCCATTCATCAAATCCATAACTCTCCCATTTAGAGTGAGGGAAGTTGTGAGGGATTGTGTCAATGGCCTCATAGAAGATCAGGTAAATGACATCCTTAGGTCTTTCCTTGTCCACTGATACAGTCACTCCATCATAAAAGGCCACTAGGCTGGTTGGGCAAGACTTGCCTTTGATGAAGCCATGCTGACTGTCTTGAATCACCTCCCTGTCCTTCACATGCCTTAGCATAGTTTCTAGGAGGAGCTGTTCCATGATCTTCCCAAACACAAAGGTGAGGCTGACAGGCTGCTTGATCCCAGGTTCTTCCTTTCAGGTCTTTTTAGAAGAGGGTGCAAAGTTTCTCTTCCTTCAGTCACCAGGGGCTTCACCTGCCTGCCATGACATTTGAAATATCATGGACAGGTGTTTGGCAATCACATTAGCTCCTTCCTTCAGGACTTTGGGAATGTTTTCAGTGAAAATGCCATAGTGATACCTTGGTGGCTTTTGTTTGGCTGTGTGATAAGTGGATCATGTTAAGGCAGAAGAGGTATTTCATGGGAGTTGCTGCCCTTAGGTACATAGGTTCTTGGTGTGTTGTTCTGGCAGTGCCTGCCTTACTGAAAGGAAATGCAAGAGCTTGCCATGCATTATGGGGGTGGAAAATGAGGCAGGAAGAGTAGCTCTACATCGAGGTATATGAAAACAAAGAAATCTTCAGCTGGATTGGAAAAAACACCAATAAAAGACATCCACAAACCGAATTGTACTACACAGTAGATATCATCCAGTACAGTGCTATGTTTATCAAAGTTTGGGTTATTACCTTAAAGAATTAAATCAATGCCATTGTCATTTAGAGCTGTTTTGTCATCCCCTTTAGGAAGGTGTTGCTGTTTGGTGCATGAAATCCCCATCTGGGATAGCTGAAGCACTGCAAAACTTAAGGGTCTGCTGCAAAGAGTCTGGAGGACACTGTGCCTATGATACCATCTGTGTGTTTTTCTATGTGCTTTCCTTGATGGGAAAGGTCAAAAAAAGCTGGAGTGAGTTCTGAGATGTGAAACAGTGGCAAGTTGATGAGGTGAATGTGGCAGTGGCAGTAAGTTAGGCCTGTCCATGTCCTGGTGTGAAGAGTATTTTGGCAGTGATCCTCTAAGTGAAACACGCTATGGCCTGGCTGTATGTTATGGGGAGCGTGACTTTTATTGGGAAGGAGTCTTCCCTGTGGGAAAAGGAGATGATGGGTAGAACACTGCATCACTGGGGAAGACCTGAATGTCTGCTTAGCTGTGGAGATCACATTTCCCATGGCAAGGTTTTGAGGATACTGATAGAAAACGTTGAGAAGAGGCCCAGTGCCCAAGGCTGCTCTCCTGGGATCATCTCAGGGCCTCCAGAAGTTCTAAATATCCTAGTAGCCTGGTTTTCTCCGTGGTATTACTCTTTTTGAAGATAACTGCTGTATGTGCCATTAATCACTTTTATTTGAATCGTTCTGTCAGCATTCTTGGAATGTCTCCTCAGTCTTGTGAGGAAAGGGGAAAGAAGTGCTCTCTATATTAAAGATGTCAGCAAAGCTGATGTCACACTAGAGGGCATGGGTTCCTTTTGTTTTCTTTCTTATCTATAGTGAAAAGGCCCACCCCTTGTTTCTTCCTTCTCTTATGCTGGCCATGTGTTCAGAACAAGGGATGAGATGCAGACTGATGAATGTTGGCAGCTGTCAGTTGGCAGGATTTTATGCAGTATTCCATGAGCGTGTAGGAAGGATTTTCCACAATCCTGACCTGAAGTTGCTGTTGAGAGAATGTCACCAGCTTCGGGTCTCGTTCCTGCTTCTGCTTTGGTAGAGATCTATGAGTGGGCACCACAGTGTCCATCATTTTCAAAGCTTTTGAAGAACATGAATTTGTTTGGGTTTTTTAATGTCCAGCATCTCACAAAGTTGGAATTGATGTTGCAGGTAAGTTACTCTGTAAGGAGGATGTGTTTGAGAGGCTGATGTACATTTGTTCCCATTCAGTTGTGGTTTCTTCCTGTTGAATTAAATGAATGATGCCTGGATTAAAATGCCTGTAGGTTTGGATCAGCAAAGCACCACTGCCTGCTCTTGTTCCCTTCCTGCTGCTGCCTGGCTGTGGTTTTGCAGGTGGAAGCAAGAACAGATGGAGGCTCCTTGATGCATTCCTTGGAGTAGCTATGTTGGACACTGTGGGTATGTTCTCAAGGAAAACGCTGCGGTGTTACCTTGGTGGTTTTTTCTTTGGCTATGTGATGAGTGGATTGTGCTACTGAGTGACAGGTATTCTGTGGGAATTAATAATGGGTATAGAGGTTCATGCTGTGTTGTTTTGGCAGATCATGGCTGCCAGAAAGGAGAAACAAGGGCTTTGCATTCACTGAGCAGGTAGAAAATGAGGCCAGAAGAATAACTTTTCATTGAGGTACAGGAAAAGTGCTCAGTAGCTGTGGTGACCCCGTGCTTTTTCAGACTTATTGGAAGATTACTTGGCTGTAATGGATTTGACACCCTGAATTGAGAGAATCCCCTGAATTATTTAGAGTCACTGCAGCTTGTTGGCTCAGATGTCAGTGTTGGGATTGTTTTTAAGAGGCTGATGGATTCTGTTCTGTGATAGAAAATTGCAGACTTCTTCCAGCAGGGGAGGTGACTGAGCAATCTGTCTTCACAGATGGGAGGAAAGTAGGAATGTTTCTCTTTGAAGAGATTCAAGGCAACAGGGAAGAGCTCTTGCCAGAGGGTATGGAGCGAGTGATATAATCATAGAGAAAACATGCTGGTTGAGAAGAAGCAGAGAAGAAGATGGAGTGGGGGAATGCAGAAGGGGGAGAGAAGATGAGGAGAAAGTGGTAAAAGTAGAGATGGAGGTAAGGAACAGGGCAGAGAAAGAAGAGCAAACCTGCATGACAAAAGCAATAGAGAAAGAAGGGAAGAAACAATGAACATTTTTACTAGCATGTAAATGACAATATCAGTTTGGACAGAAATGTGTTGAGGAAAAGAGGAAAGAAGAAAGGAAGGAATGAAGGAAGATGAAAGAGAACAGAAAAACCAATAAGCTATAAAGATGATGAGCAGGGTGCACGAATGTTACCTTGTGGAAGAATCCAGGAGGAAAGGAAAAAGTCAATGAATATATGCAAATAACAAAGCAAGAAAAGAAGAAAGAAAGCATAGAAGGGTGGATGTGAAGAGCTGATAGAGGGAAGATTGAAGGATAGAAGGAAGCAAGCAGTTACGAAAGGAAGTTGACAAAGAAAAAACAAGAGGCTGTAGGGGAGATGGCAAGCCCGCACCAACGTCGATTTTAACTAAGGGGATGCGTCAGTCTGGCGTCCCGACGACACCGCAGGTGACGGGGAGCTCTCATTAGGGGAAAGGAGAGAGAAAGGAAAAGGACATAATGAGCAGGATAAGGCAAGAACCGAAAGGAGAAGGAAATAAGAAAGAGGAGAAGGATGGAAGAAAATAAGGGAGAAAGGAGATGGGGAAGAGGAAATTCAAAATTATAAGAAAGGAAGAGGAAAAAATAGAAAAAATAAAATACGAGAGACACGAATAAAAAGAAGTAACTGCTGGAAGAAAGGAGAAAAGAAGAAAGAAAAAGGAAGAAATAAAGAGCAAACAAGGAAGGAAAAATGAAAATAGGTACTGGAATGAAAGAAAGGAACGCGAGGAGGAGCCGAGGAGAGCGGAGCAGCCCGGTTTCGCCGGCTTGGACAATGTCAGGAAGCATGAGAGGCGTTGGAGAAGCGCACGGTGTCGCTGCAGGCTCAGAAACGGCGTGTCGGCGGCTCCGCCCCGGTGCGAGCGGGGAAGAGCCCCGCTGTGAGCGCGGGCGGGGCGGTGCGGGCCGAGCAGGAGAGCCGGTGGATCCGGGCAGCGGTGGGGAGCCGTGCGGGCCCGGGCCGGTGCCAGATGCGGCAGAGGTGATGGAGATGGGCATGTGTCGTGGTTCCTTGCTGCGGGTGCTGGTGCTGCAGTTGTCTTGGGTGCTGATCGGCGGGCAGGTGCGGTACTCGGTGCCGGAGGAAGCCAAGGCCGGCACGGTGGTGGGCCGGCTGGCGCAGGACCTGGGCCTGGAGGCGGGCGAGCCGGAGGCGCGGCGGCTGCGGCTGGTGTCGCAGGGCCGGCGGGCGAGCGTGGAGGTGAGCGGGGCGAGCGGGGCGCTGGTGGTGAGCTCGCGGCTGGACCGGGAGGAGCTGTGCGGGAAGAGCGCGCCGTGCTCCCTGCGGCTGGAGGTGCTGGTGGAGCGGCCGCTGCGCGTCTTCCATGTGGAGCTGGAGGTCACCGACATCAATGACAACGCCCCGGTCTTCCGTGTGAATGAAGAAGCTTTTACAATCGCGGAATATACCACGCTGCCGGGGTCTCGTTTCCCGCTGGAGGGCGCGTCGGATGCAGATGTCGGAGCGAACGCTCAGCTCTCGTATAGCCTCAGCCCGAACGAACACTTCTCACTTGATCATTACGGAAATAATGAGCAGAGCTCGTCTTTGACTCTTGTTTTAACGAAACCTCTGGACCGCGAGACAATGCCGATTCATCATCTGGTGCTGACGGCGACGGATGGGGGCCGTCCGCCACTGACGGGCACTGTGAAGCTGGTGATCTCAGTGCTGGATGTGAACGACAATGCGCCCCAGTTCAACCAGTCTGTATATAAAGTGAAGGTCTTGGAGGGTTCAGAGATAGGGACTCAGTTAATCACGCTCAATGCCACGGATTTGGACGAAGGAGTAAATAGTGAAGTTATATATTTATTTAGTAGGCACGCATCCGCGGAAGTTAAAGAAATGTTTAGTATTGATGAAAACAAAGGAGAAATCAGGCTTCGGAGAAATTTAGACTACGAAGAAATGGATAATTACGAGATCCAGGTCGAAGCACGAGACAAAGGTTCTCCACCATTGTCGAATCACTGCAAAGTAGTGGTGGAGGTGCTGGACGTGAACGACAACGCACCGGAGGTGTGGGTGACGTCGCTGTCGGTGCCGGTGCCGGAGGATGCGGCAGTGGGGACGGTGGTGGCTCTGCTGAGCGTGTCGGATCAGGACTCGGGGGCGAACGGTCGAGTGCGCTGCACAGTGTGGCCGTCGGCGCCGTTCGGTCTGGTGTCGACGTTCGCGGGCTCGTACTCGCTGGTGCTGCGGGAGGCGCTGGACCGGGAGCGGGTGTCTGAGTACGAGGTGGAGGTGCGGGCGGAGGACGGCGGGGCGCCGCCGCTGCGCGCCAGCCGGGGTCTGCGGGTGCCGGTGTCGGACGTGAACGACAACGCGCCGATGTTCGCGCAGGCCGTGTACACGGTGCTGGCGCGGGAGAACAACGCGGCGGGCGCGGAGCTGGCGCGGCTGTGGGCGCGGGACCCGGACGAGGCGGGCAACGGGCGCGTGAGCTACTCGGTGGCGGAGAGCGGCGGCGGAGCCGCGGTGTCTGGGGGCGGGTGGCGTCCGGCGTCGAGCTACGTGTCGGTGGACGCGGAGAGCGGGCGGCTGTGGGCGCTGCAGCCGCTGGACTACGAGGAGCTGCAGGTGCTGCAGTTCGAGGTGCGGGCGGTGGACGCGGGGGAGCCGGCGCTGTGCGGCAACGCCACGGTGCAGCTCTTCGTGCTGGACGAGAACGACAACGCGCCGGTGCTGCTGCCGCCTGCCGGGGGCGGGCCTGGAGCCGGGTCCGCGGTCTCGGCGGCGTCGGGTGCCGACTCTGGGGCGCTGTGGGCGTGGGCGATGTGGGGGGCGCCGGCGGGGCAGGTGGTGGCGAAGATCCGGGCGGTGGACGCGGACTCGGGCTACAACGCATGGCTGCGCTACGAGCTGTGGGAGCCGCGGGGCAAGGGCCCGTTCCGCGTGGGGCTTTACAGCGGCGAGGTGAGCACGGCGCGGGCGCTGGAGGAGGCGGACGGCCCGCGGCAGCGCCTGGTCATCGTGGTGCGGGACCACGGCGAGCCGGCGCGCTCGGCCACTGCCACCCTGAGCGTGTCGCTGGTGGAGGGCTCCGAGGCGGTGCTGGCTGCCTCAGGCTCGGGTTCGTCGAGAGCGGCGCTGGCGGCCGAGGAGAGCGGTGCCGCATCGGCGACGACGACCACTAACGTGTGGCTAGTGGTGGCCATCTGCGTGGTGTCGAGCCTTTTTCTCCTGGCGGTGGTGCTGTACGGGGCGGCGCGGTGGTCGCCGCGGTCGGCCGTGCTGTCGGGTCCCGGTCCTGCTACTCTGGTGTGCGCCAGCGAAGTGGGGAGCTGGTCGTACTCGCAGCGCCAGAGCCGGAGCCTGTGCGTGGCGGATGGGGCAGGCAAGAGCGACCTGATGGTTTTCAGCCCCAACTTTCCTCCGCCGTTCGGGTCCACAGCGAAGGAGACGCATCCAGAGGTGCCTGCTCTGCTGCAGACGGTCAGTGGCTGTTCTTCTCTCCCTCCCTACCTCGTTTCTCGCCCCTTCCGCCGACACCTTTTGCTCCCTGTCGCTCTTTTAACCCGCCCGCCCATCAGTCTTTCCTTGCTGTGAGCCGTGCTCAGTCCCCGGGTCCTGATGTCTGTGGGTGTTGGCACCGTGATGCTCTTCTGTGAGCCTTGTGCCTGCCTCTGTCGTGGCTGGAACACGCTGAGTTTTGCTGGTGGGAAGAGAAAGGTCTCCCCTAGAAGTAAATCCTTTGTGTTATGTTACTTGTCAAAAACCTGTTCTCTTGTGATGTGATTGCATCCTTCAAGAGAAGTCGTGCCTAGTGACACTTGGGGCTTCAGGTGTTTGTATGCGGTGGACTTTCTCCATTTTAATTTCTTCACCAGAGTAGTAATGAAATTTGGGGAGGCATTGTAGAGTTTATCCATGTTCTTTTGCATGGTTGTTGTAACTCGGTAGAATAAAGTTTGCAGGCAGAGGACTGTATGTGACACTGACTGTGACTGTCACAGTGTATGTGACAGTACAGTGACTGATGACACTGTATGTGTCAGAAATGGGAAGTTTCCTTTTGTATTTCTGCACCCTTGAATCATGTTGTAGATTTCCACTCCTCGTTCTTAAGTGACACTGTCCGTTTGGATGGACTTCCAATACTTGTATCATTTTTGACATCCTCATGGAATTAGAAAACCTTCATTGAAAGAAACCTGAAAGAATTTTTTTACACATTTGATGGCATCCATTGCAGTTCTGTGATTGTTAGCATTTGGGCTGTTCCCTCTCAGAAGGACATCAAAGCCCATTGCCATCACAGCTAACCCGACACCATTTTTACAAATACACGTGTAACATTTCAGAGATGTAACAGAGGTCCCAGGTGTGGATCAGTTCTCTCTGAGATAAAAGAACTTGAAGGATCAACTACGGCGAGTCTGCTAAACACAGAGGTACTGGCTGTATGGTTTTCATGGTGCTCTCATTCATGACAACAATTGTGAATTTCTATTACTGACCAGTGCAGTGATGTGACATACACTGGAGTGTTTAATGTTCTTTCTCAATACCTGCATCAGCAGCCACACACTTACCAAAGAAGAAAACAAACAGAACCTGCCCAATAACGAACTCCTAAATGCAAATTTTCTCACAGAACCAGTATAATTTATTACACTGAATTGTTTGTCCATATTTGGGTTGTTTTATCACAGCATGAAATCAATGCCATTGCAATGTAGAGCTGCTCTGATATCATCTTTTAAACATGTAATGGGCGTTGCACACAGTCTATATGATATGATTGGTTTGTGTTTTTTTAAAGTGCTCTCATTTTTTGGAAGGGTCCACAAATGCTTGAGTGAGGCCTGAGAAGAGGAAAAGAACAGAGGCATGTCAGGGAGGTGAATGTGGCAGTGTCCCTGAGTAGGATGTTAGCACCTCATGATATGAAGGGTGATCTTGAGAAGTGGCAACACTTGCCTGAAATGGAAATCCTTGGGAAGACCATGGGCCATGTGATAAGACAGTAATGACAGACAGCATGCTTGTTCTGAGAACACATTCAAGGAGTGACCTCAATAAAACATGAAGGCACGGGCTATTCCATTCCAAGATCCTTTCCCAGGCTCCCAGCTTGCCTGGAGTTGAAGGCCTTCTGGATCTTGCGATAGTGTGTGGTATTGAAATCCCTATAATGTCTTTTGAGTTTGTGAATATCTCTCAGCAGGGACAGTGCTCTGTGTTTCTGCTGGCTGAGGTAGGGAATGTGTTGGGTAAGAGTTGGTGGGATGCTGCCTGCTGAATACTGTCTGATGAACCTTTTCACTCCTGTTTTCGGACAGTTGTGGGAAGGCAGTGTTTCAACCTGCTGCCCTTGTACAGTGGTGGGCATCTACAGCATTTCCACAGGTCTTGATGTTGTTGTGATGGTTCATTGGTCTCGCTGAGGCAGGATGACACAGGACACATAATGAGGTGGGTGTAATCTCTGTGTGTTCAACTTCCCTCCTTGTGTACCTGCACCGTCAGCCTTGGTGGAGATGGTGTAACCTGTTGTCACATGTGGCTCATTCTGATGTCTGGACATACACGTCCAGCTCTAGTTTTCTAGCATTTGACATGGTTCTCTTGAAGAATACGATCCGTGTGTTCTGGGACCAGAGGTGTCAGAGCTCTAATCCAAGCATTTTTAAGAACTCAATTTCAGTTTGAACCTTAGTGTGCAAAAAAGGCATCACTCCATATGTTCTGGTGCCAAACATGAGGGAATCTTGAGTATGCGCAAAGTCCCGGGACATGATCTCAGAGAGGTATTTAGAGCTGGGACATGTTTTTGTGGTGGAGCAATGTCTGGGTATTGTGGCAGTGTTGGTACTGAGTTGGGCTTGGGTCACCATTATGGGATGCATGACCTTGAGCAGGGAAGAGTGTTGCCTAAGAGAAATGGAGGTACTGGGGAGAATGCATTCTGTGTCACTGGGCAAGAACTGGAGAATGTCTGCTTGGCTATGGAGATTGCATTTCCCATGGCAGAGGATAGAAGATGCCAATAGATAACCTTGAGAAAAGGCCTGGTGCACAGGGCTGCTTTCCTAGGATCCTCTCAGGGCCTTCAGAAATTCTATATATTATTGCAGCCTGGTGTTCCTGTGGTATTACTGCTTTTGAAGATAACTGCTGTACATGCCTTTAATAATTTGATTTCGGTATGGAATGTCATTGGTCAAACAGAAATTTGAATCATTCTGACAGCCTTCTCAGAATGCCTCCTTGTTCATCTCCCTGGACTTTGTCTTGCAAGGGAGGAGAAGAAGTGCTCTCCTTCAGCAAACCTGGCTTTTCATTGTGCTAACATGGGTTCCTTTTGTTTTCTTATGTCTATAGCAAAAATGCCTACCACTTTTTTTCTTCTTCTCTCATGTTGGCCATGTGTTGGGAGCAGGGAATGAGATGCAGACTGCTGAATTTCGTCAGGTGACAGGTTTTGCAGCAATATTCATGAATGTGTGGGAATGTTTTTCTACTCTCCTGATGATGATGTTGAAATAAGATTTGTAGCTTTCAGGTCTCCCTCGTATTTCATCTTTGATAAGAGGTGCATGAGGGAGGACCACGCATGATTTTCAAAGCTTTTGAAGAACACGATTACTTTTTTTTCTGCCCAGTACCCCCACATTTGCAAGTAACATTACAGGTAAGTCAATTGGTCATGAGGATGTATTTGAGAAGCTGATATACTTTCGTACCCATTCACTTGTGGCTTCTTTCTTTTGGACTGACTGAGTGCTGCTTGGGTTGGAATGCCTGTTGGTTTGGAGCAGCAAAGCACCACTGCCTGCTCTTGTTTCTCTCCTGCTGCTGCTTGGCAGAGGTTGAGCAGGTGGAAGCTGGGACAAATGGAGGAGGGACCTTGATGGATTTCTTGGAGTAGATGTGTTGGGCTTTGAGGAGATGTTCTTAGGGAAAACACTGTGGTGTCACGTTGGTGGTTTTTGTTTGTCTATGTGATTAGTGAATTGTACTGATTGAATGGTATTCCATGGGAACTAACACTTACAGGTATGGAGGTTCCTGCTGTGGTTTTTTGGCAGAGCATGGCTGCCAGAAAGGAAAAGCAGGAGCTTGACATTCACTGTACAGGTAGAAAATGAGGCCAGATAAATGGCTTATTATTGAGGTACATGAAGACTGCTCGGGAGTTGTGGTAGACCCCTACTTTTTGAGCTTTCATTGAAGATTGTTGTGCTTGGTTGTGATAGTTTTCAGTTCCTCAATGAGAGACTCACCTGAGATATTTAGTCATTGGAGCCAGTTTACTGAGATGTCAGTGTTTGGTTAATTTTCAGAGGATGGTGAATTCTATTCCTTGAGAGAAGAGTGTCGTCTGCTTCTAGAAGAGGAATTGACTGTGTAGTCTGTCTGTCTTCAGAGACTAGAGGAGAGCAGAAAGGTAGTTCCTCTTCTGGAGAGATAGAAAGCAGCAGAGAAGAGCAATTACCAAAGGGTATATATTTGCTCCATGGCAAGAGTGATGTAATCACAGAGAAAATACGTTGGTGTAAGAGACAAACCAGAGAAGAAGAAGAATGTCTCGGTGGAGTGGTGCAGGAGGAGAGGAGGGGAGAGGAGACGAGAGGAGGGAAGGGAGAAGAGAAGAGAAGAGAAGAGAAGAGAAGAGAAGAGAAGAGAAGAGAAGAGAAGAGAAAAGAAGAGAAGGAATGAGCAGTGCAGAGAATGGATCCATCTCTGACGGTGCCCGCCGCGCCGCCAGACCCAGTGGAGAAACTGTAAATGGGGGTAAAGGAGAGAGAAGAGTGAGAAGGGAAAGAGGTGTAAAGAGCAGGGCGGGGCAAGAACGGAAAGGAAATCGAAGAGAATAAAGAGATGGAAGAAAGAAGAACAAAAGGGAAGAAAGCTAAAGAAGGAATGATAAAGGAAAAGAAAACGACAATAATGAGGAAAATGAAGAACGAGTGACACGAATAGAATAATAGAATCATAGAGTACAATTACATAACTGCGGGAAGACAGCAAACGGAAGAAGGAGTAAGAGAAGTGAAAAGAAAAAGGAATAAGGAAAAGACAGACTGGAAGGAAAGGGGAAGGGGGGAAGAAGAGGCGAGCGGACAGCGGAGCAGCCCGGGTCCGTAGGATTGGGCGGTGTCAGAAAGCATGTGAAGCGTTGGAGCAGCACACGGTGTCGCTGCAGGCTCAGAAACGGCGTGTCGGCGGCTCCGCCCGGTGCGAGTAGCGGAGAGCCCGGCTGTGAGCGCGGGGGGAGGCGGCGCGGGCCGGGCAGGAGAACCGGAGCATCCGGGCAGCGGTGGGGAGCCGTGCGGGCCCGGGTGGGTGCCTCCAGCGGCGATGGCGATGGACGGCGTGTGTGGGGCTGCCTTGTTGCGGGTGCTGGTGCTGCAGTTGGCCTGGGTGCTGATCAGCGGGCAGGTGCGGTACTCGGTGCCGGAGGAAGCCAAGGCCGGCACGGTGGTGGG